TGTGTGTGTGTGTGTGTGTGTGTGTGTGTGTGTGTGTGTGTGTGTGTACATGGACATGTTTAAATTATTCTAGGTAAGTAGAATAGAGTTTGGCTCAGAAACAGATAGCACATTAGGAATTTCATAGTATGCTAAATACAATCAAACCTCCTTCTTCTACCACAATTAGGTCATTCTTCCTATCCAAGTCACCAAAGGACATCTTTCTATTGCCTTTATAACCCAAAAGTAAATGATTATCAAATTACTATTTAATTCAAGCAAAATGGATTATAGCTGAGTTCAGAAATAACTGATTTCATATCCCATCTCAGATATTTACTAACTGTATGATCCTAAACAATTCATTGAGACTTTCTCTGTCTCATTTTCCTCAAGTGTAAATTGGGAGTATTGGACTCAATAGCCTCTCAATTCCTTCCAGCTCTAAAACTATTTGTTGTTATTCAGTTGTTTTCAGTCATGTCCAACTCTCCATGACCCCATTTGGGGTTTTCTTGGCAAAGATACTGGAGTGATTTGCCATTTCCTTCTCCAGCTCATTTTACAGATGAGGAAACTGAGGCATACAGGATTAAGTGACTTGCCCAAGGTCATATATCTTGTGAGTGTCTGAGGCCAGATTTGAGCTTAGGAAGAGGAGTCTTCCTGACTCTAGGACTGGCACTCTACCCACTCAACCTAGTTGCCCTAAACCTTTGATACTATGAAATACTTATTGACAACCTGCTGTTGTGCTAGGTCCTGCAAAACCAGAAAGGTCACCATAGAATTATGGAGGTGGAAGGTACCTTTGGAATTATGTGGTCTACTCCTCTTATTTTTTACAGATCAAGAAACTATGGCCCTGCAAGGTTAAATGATTTGCCAGAAGCCACATAAGCATCTAGCAGTAAGATCATGATTAGAACCCAGGTTGCACCAATCCTTAACAAGTGCTTTACTCACTACCCACATGCTACCAAGTAGAAAGCATGGTCCCTTCCTACAGAGCTTAGATTTTTATTACAAAGAAGGGGTATGTACAAATGCAATGCTGTATACATTTACTAAGTGCCAATTTCACAAAAGGCCTTGTCCTGGGTTCTTCTGGGTATACAAAGATGAAATCAAATGTTTTTTTTTTTGTTTTTTTTTTGGCAAGGGAAATAAATAAATAGGTGATTTATTTCATTTTGTCTGAAAAAATTAAGCTCTTACTATGTGGAAGATATTATGTTAAGCAACAGTTATGACAGCTATGACATAAACTCTGTTGTCAGGGGCAGCTAGGTGGTGCAGTGGATAGAGCACTGGCCCTGAAGTCAGGAGGACCTGAGTTCAAATCTGGCCTCAGACCAAACACTTGACACGTACTAGGTGTGTGACCTTGGGCAAGTCACTTAACCCCAATTGCCTCACTAAAATAAATAAATAAATAAATAAACTCTGTTGTCAAGGTTTTGTTATTTAGTCATCCAATTATGTCTGAGTCTTTGTAACTCTGTGGATTCCTGTCTATGGGATTTTCTTGGCAAAGATACTGGAGTGGTTTTCCATTTACTTCTCCAGTGGCTCACCCATCCATAGGCAAACAGAGGTTAAGTGACCTGCCCAAGGTCACACAGCTATTAAAATTTTCAGAGGCTGGATTTGACCTCAGGTCTTCCTGACTCCAAGCCTAGCACTTTATCCATTGTGCCACTAGGCTTACCTTCTCAACAATCTAATAAAGGCAATCTAACAAAGGGAAACACCTAGAAAAAAAAGGATAGATAAAGAAATAGAATGTAATTTTCTTAAGGGTAAAAACAATCTCACTTTAGTGTTTGTAATCCTAATGCCTAGCACAGGGCTTACCAAATAGTTAATACTTAAAAAAATGTAGTTGATTAAAAATTTAAGTGCAAAAGAAAGGTTTAGACAAAGTGCTACAAGAAATCTGATGAGCAAGAGGTCATTTTCCCTGTAAGACAGATGGATAGAGTAGGTGGGACCTGAGTTGAACCCTGAAAGAAGGGACGAAATATAATATATAAAGGGAAGGATAGAATCCAAGAAGGAATCCATTCTAGGCATGAAGGCAGTGTAACCAAAGGCACAAATATGTAAGAAGGGCAGTATGAGAATGGGGGAATAGGATTAACACAGTTCTGATGTAACATTAAGTAGGTAAATATGAATAAGATGAGTTAAGGCTGAATAAGTAGGCTGAAGTAATATCTTGGAAGGTCTTTAATACCAGATCAGGAGTTATGTTTTATTTGATAGTACATAGAGTCTCACTGAAGGTTTCTGAGCCAAGAAATGACAGTAACAGAGTGGTACAATAAGAATTACTCAAGCAATTATGTGAAGGATGAATTGGAGATGGAATAGGCTGGACAGAGGGATAACAGTTTGATAATCATTGCAATAGTTTAGTTAACAAAAGATGAGGGCCTGAATTAGGGAAGCTGTTGTCAGAGTAGAAAAGAGGAAAGACAAGAGATTTTGTAGAGGTACAGTCAACATTACCTGGAAAATGACTGAATATGTTAGGAGAGGAAGAATCAAAGATTGCTCTGGGGAAACAAGCCTGAGTGATTGGGAAAATAGTGGAGTCATCAAAAGAAATAAGGCCATTAGAAGGAGATTTAGGCTTTAGTGGGAGGCATGGGGGAATGATTCTAGTACATGTACTCTTCAATCCAGTGATCTGGGCCTCATAGCTGTTTTATGAAAAATATACTCTGTCTTTTTGCTTTGAGAATTTTCTGTCTGTCCCCCATATCTGGAATTTTCTCCCTCCTCTACTACACCAACTAACTTCTCCAGCTTCCTTTAAATCCCAATTAAAACCCCATCTTTTACTGAAAGCCTTCCCAAGGCTCCTCAATTCTAGTGTTTTCTCTCTATTAATTATTTCCTATTTATCCTATATGCATATATCCTATATATGTATATAAAATATATTTTATTGCATGCTGTCTTCCTTGTTAGATTATAAGCTCCTGGAGGGCAGAGACTGTCTTTTGCCTATTTTTATATCCTAGCATTTCACAAAATACCTGGCTCATAGTAGGGAGTTAATAACTATTTATTTATTGGTTGATTGATTGAAAGGTCAGAGATACAATTTTGAGGTGCCAAAGGGACATATAATTAGAGATATCTACTAATCAGTTGGGAGTCTAGGACTGGAACTCTCTGGGGTTATAGATTTCGGAAATTTTCTGTATAGAAAGAATAGTTGTAGTCATAGAAGTAAATGAGATCACCAAGAGAGATAATGTAGAAAAAGAAAGAGAGAAGTCTGGGGTAGAGTACTGGTATACACTCACGTTTGAGGGGGGAGAGGATGGGTATGAGGAGCTAACAATAGAGGAGTGATAGGAGAGGTGGGAATAGAATCATGAGAGTACAGCATCATGGAAACCAAGGGAATAAAGGTTATCAAGAAGGAAGAAGATCCTCAGGGGCAAAATGTGATAGGACAAGGAGGATAAGAACAGGAAAAACAGGGATGTTAGAAATACAGAAGAAAGGTGCAAATGAACTGGTAGGGGAAGGAGAACCCACTTCTGGCTACTACAGCTGGAGGTCAAAGAGACTTCATGAGACATTGAAATACAAACAGATACAATGTCCATAACTAGCTTTCAAGTAATAAGATTATTTGTCATTAAATTCCAGTAATATGGTTCCTGAAAGTAAATAAATGTTCTGTGTGTGTGTGTGTGTGTGTGTGTGTATGAGAGAGAGAGAGAGAGAGAGAGATTGTGGATGGGGTTAGTCAAAGATAGCTTCAGAGGAAGTGAAATTTCAGCTGAACTCTGAGTAAAATTCTGGGATTGATATAGAATAGCTAGGGGGATGTTTCATGCATATCCTCTACTCTCCCTGCTGAGTATATTGCACCTGTTAGCTTTCTAAACAAATATTTTGTGATTCAGCACAGTGTAACTTGTTGCTTCAGAGTTGTGTAGTGTATTTGTTTAGAGCTTTTGTTCTAAAGAACTCAGAACACTTTGTACAGATTAAACAATTCCTCCTTGCACAATGAGGGAAGTTTTTCCACAGTGGGGAAAGGAACAAGGTGGAATCATGGGGGTAGGAAAGGAGTAGGTGTGGCTATTTGCACTGAAGACTTTACTGGCCTTTCCATCCATTCTAGAGCAATAAGCAAT